CATGAACATGTGAAATTTTTATCTACATAAACCAGCACAAAGTCCATATCATCTGTGGTCAAAGCTTTTATCAGCTACTTCACACAAAATTGAATAAGGCTTTTTATCAAACAGTTTCCTCGCAGTAAAAGTCCCATCGATAATTTGTAGTTCTTGGCTAAACCAATCCAGTTTCAGGCCAAAACTAGAAAGGCATTAGGTAAAAGAGGATCCAAAAACAAGTTAATTTACTTGTGTTCGGGTGCATGAACATGTGAAATTTTCTTATAGTTAGAAACAATAGGCAGGTAAACAAAGCTAGTAGATTCTACTGATATCTCTGTCCCTAAGCCCATAAGAAAAACTCGAATCCAAAGGTACTCATCAGAAGGTTTGCAACCGCACACTACCTGGATTCGACCACAGGAGAAGGCAAACGGAGGCGGCTAAAGGGATGGCAACGCCAAGAACTCGAGATGGAGACGGACACAGCGAGGTGGGCGCGGATGGAGGAACGCCAGGCTGTACTTGCAGCGGTTGAGCTCTAACCATGGCGGTGATTCTACTGACCTTTCTGAAGGCCGGTGGACCGGCAGGGGAGGAGGGCGGAGAGAAGGCCAGGGTGGAAGAGCAGAGCATGTCTCCCCCACAGCAAACGGCCTCGATTGAGCACTTGGGAGGCTCTGCAGCAAGGGATGATGATTTGTTGCGGGGGAAAGAATGAGAAGGGATGATATCTTGTGCTTCCACGTGAGCCACACGTGGGACGTAAATGACGCGCAATTGGGTTACAGATAAATGCATTTGAATAAAATTTAATATAAATCGAATATCCTATTGGCATCTGATAAATTATTGAAATTAATATATATATATATATATATATATATATATATATATATATATATAGAGCTGTGCTTCAGACAATTCCTCCGACCGTTGCTTATGCCATGACTTGTGCCCTCGCCGTTTCTCCCTTCCAAGTTGTCTCGTCACGCAAGAATGCCACCGCCACCCAAAGTTCCAAGGAACCACCAATCTCCCCCGCGAGTCTTCATGCCACCACCATTGCGACAGCCGCGGACTTCTTCACCCCATCGCAACTCCAGCAGCTCCATGCCCGCCTCATCAAGTCCGGCCTCCCACCCTCGTCCTCGGCCTCCGCCCTTCCCCTCCCCCGCGTAGCGGCCGTCTGCGCCCTCTCCTCGCCCTCCGCCTTCTCCTACGCCCGCCGGCTCTTCGGCCTCTCCGACGCTGCCTCCGAGACCGTCCTCTGGAACTCCCATCTCAACACCCTCTCCTCCTCCCCCTCACCCGCCGACGCCCTCGCGCTCTTCTCCCGCCTCCGCTTCGCCGGCGTCGCCTCCGACGTCTTCACCCTCTCCTTCGTCCTCAAGGCCTGCTCCCGCACCCCCTCCGCCCTGCCCCTTGGCCGCGCGGTCCACGCCCTCGTCGAGAAGCTCGGCTTCCGCTCCGACGTCTTCCTGCTCAACACCCTCGTCCACATGTACGCCTCCCGCGGCGACATTTCCGCCGCGAGGCTGCTGTTCGATGTCATACCGGCGAAGGACGTGGTCACTTGGAACATTATGATCACGCACTACACCAAGACCGGGGAGATGGAGATCGCCCGCCACCTCTTCGATTTAATGCCCGAGAGGAGCGTCCGGTCGTGGACGGCGATGATAGCTGGGTACGGCCAGTGGAAGAAGCCGCGGGAAGCCGTCCGGTTATTCCGCGAGATGGAGTCCGCGGGCGTGCAGCCGAACGAGGTCACCGTCGTCGCCGTGCTTGCGGCCTGTGCCGACCTCGGGGAGCTGGACTTGGGGAAGCGGGTCCATGAGTTCGCCAAGCGGTGCTCGTTCCAGAAGAACAACGTGCGCGTCTGCAACACGCTGATCGACATGTACATAAACTGCGGGTGCGTCGAGAAGGCTCGCCAAGTGTTCGACGAAATGGCGGAACGGACCGTGGTGTCATGGTCAGCAATGATTGGCGGGCACGCAATGCACGGGCAAGGTGAGGAAGCCCTGAAGCTCTTTTCGAGGATGAGGGAAGCGGGCATGGAGCCGAACGGAGTCACCTTCGTGGGGCTTCTGCACGCGTGCAGCCACATGGGGCTGTTGGAGGAGGGGAAGCGGTTCTTTAGTAGCATGACAGAAGACTACGGCATAGTGCCGGAGATCGAGCACTACGGTTGCATGGTCGACCTCCTCAGCCGTGCAGGGTTCCTCGAGGAAGCCCGAGAGTTCATCAGGGAGATGCCGGTCAAGGCCAACAGCGTCGTCTGGGGGGCGCTCCTGGGCGGGGCCAAAGTGCACAAGAACATCAACATGGGGGAGGAAGCGATACGGCATCTTGTGGAATTGGACCCCCTCAACGATGGCTACTACGTTGTGCTGTCGAACATCTACGCCGATGCAGGGAGGTGGGAGGACGTAGCGAAAGTGCGGCGGATGATGAAGGACCGAGGACTGAAGAAGACGCCGGGGTGGAGCACCATATCTTTGGATGATGAGGTGGTGCACGAGTTTGTGGCAGGGGAGAGCGATCATCCTCGGATCGAGGAGGTCTACAGAGGGTGGGATGAGCTTTTGGAGAAGTTGAGGTGCCGAGGTTACGTGCCAGACACGTCAGCAGTGCTGCTGGACATGGATGAGAAGGAGAAGGAGAAGGTGTTGTATCGGCACAGCGAGAAGCTTGCAGTCGTGTTTGGGCTGATGAACACGCGGGCGGGAAGACCAATTAGGATCATGAAGAACCTTAGAGTTTGCAGTGACTGTCATGCGGCTCTGAAGTTGATATCTGAGGTTACCGACCGCGAAATTGTTGTCCGGGACAGAAACAGGTTTCACTGCTTCAAACACGGGTCTTGTTCTTGTAGAGATTATTGGTAGGTTTTGCAGTCTGTACAATGTGTTCTCCTCCATTGCAAGATTATGAAAAGATAGACTGGCCTCCAAATCTGTCATAGAAACTATATCATCAGATTTCTATAGAAACATAGAGGGCCATTATACAGTGCCGTAGCTCTACTGCATGGTGCCTTGGAGGAGGAGACCCACGGTCAACGACTAGGCAAGAAGGCCTTCTGGTCTTCGGAGGAAGGCTTATCGGAAGAATCTGCGTCCAGCAGCTTACGGAACACCAACTTCTGCTGAGGACGCTGGCCATTGGAGAAAACAGTGACTTCTGTGTCCACTAACACAGTGTCCTCATCCTTGAAGTCTCCTCTGAGAATACCTTTTGCTAGTTCATTCTCCACATTCTGTTGAATAACACGCTTCACCGGCCTAGCACCGTAGTTGGGATCGTATCCGAGATTTCCGAGAAACTCGACTGCCGCATCGGTGACCTCAATCTTGATCTTCCGGTCGGCAACTCGCTTCTGTACTCTCTCCAACTGTATAGACAGACCAATCAGTACGTCAGGTGGCAGCACATGGGAATAAGGATCCATATAGACTACAAAACTAGTAATTGCCAAGATAAGGCATAGATTTATAGATTTTGATTTTTCATCGAGAGGAGTTTAATTGTTACCATGTTGTGGCAAAGTTGTGAAGTCAAATATAATTAGAGCTGTAATAGCTAAGTTTCTCCATATGGATTTTTTGAAAGGCATGCTTCAACAATTTAAATATTGAATCACATCTACTTGTAGCAATCCTGTGTGTAATATAGAATTTTACGGATGATAAGAGCCCATACCTGTAACTTGACAATGCTGTTAATCTGCTCCCGGTCCAGAGGCTGGAAAACAATATACTCATCAACTCGATTCATGAATTCAGGGCGAAATAAGGACCTAGCAGCGTCCATCACCCTCTGCTTGATTGACTCATAGGTTGAATCCCTTGACTCGGTTTCACCGTTCATATTCAAGATGTACTGAGAACCCACGTTTGATGTCATAATGATGACTGTATTGGTAAAACTCACTGTCCGGCCCTGTGAATCAGTCACCCGACCATCATCCAGTATCTGCAGGAAAACATTGAACACATCAGAATGCGCCTTCTCTATCTCATCAAACAAAATAACAGCATATGGCCTCCTGCGAACAGTCTCAGTCAGCTGTCCTCCCTCTTCGTATCCAACATAACCAGGTGGGGCCCCAATCAATCTTGACACTGCATGCTTTTCCATGTACTCGCTCATATCTATTCTCACTAAAGCTTCTTCAGTGTTGAACATATAAGAAGCAAGTGTTTTTGCCAATTCGGTCTTGCCAACCCCTGTTGGTCCCATGAACATGAAACTAGCAATGGGACGGTTTGGGTCTGAGAGACCAGCTCTGGACCGTTGGATAGCTTCTGCCACAGCTCTCACTGCAGGGTCTTGACCTACAACACGCTTGTGGAGTTCTTCTTCCAGGTGCAGCAGCTTTTCCCTCTCAGACTGTTGCAGCTTGGACACCGGAATACCTGTCCATTTGCTGACTATTTCTGCAATGTCATTTCCAGTTACCTCTTCTCTAAGCATTGACTTTCCTGAATTTTGATATTCAGTGAGCTCCTTTTCTGCTTGTTGAAGTTGACGCTGTAGAGAGTTAAGGCTTCCATACTTCAATTCAGCAGCCCGGTTAAGATCATACTCACGTTCTGCTTGCTGAATTTCTAGATTCACCCTGTCAATCTGTGCCAAAGAAAGTGTAGCTTAGTGAGATGGAACATACCAATGATTTTAAGCAAAATTCCAAACTTGTTGGTATAAGTGATACAAGAGGTTCTTATTTTAGTTGATAATCTCCATACTAATAAATACATGTTTTAAATTGTCAAGAAAGCACTCAGCTCAGATTAACTTACTAATTTCTTTTTGAAAGAAGGGAATTTCAGTAAACAAAAATTTCAGTGAACTTGATAATCAGATCACTGTTTCAGACTCGAAACAAATGCAAACCAAACAGGGAATGTGTAGCCTGTTAAACGAATTTTGAATGAATTCTATAATTAATCTTTAGATTTTAATGGGCTAATCAATTTAACAATTAGTCACCATGAACAACTTCAATGGAAGTGTACCTTCGGAGTTCTTGACCATTCTAAGACTGAAATACTAGGTATACTGTGTTTTCCTAGTGAAAAATGGATATTCCACGTATGCCCTCCACATATCTCAATGTTGCACATGCAAGTACAAAGATGCTTCAATTTTTTAAGCAATATTTTTTATGGCAGACTTCTATCATGTGAACTAGATGCACATGATATTAGCAACCTATGGGGTTCCTTCACCCCAAAGTGATAAGCAGAAAAACTTTGCCTCAAGCAATAATCAACACATAATTACTATAATTACTTTACAGAGAGCTACATGATACCTCTTCTTTTATGGATTGAATGCGTGTCATTACTGATTTTTCATGCTCCCACTGCTCAGTAAGTTCAGCTTGCTTCTCCTTCAAGAGTGACAGTTCAGCCTCAAGGCGGTTCAATCTATCTTTCGAAGCTTTGTCTGTATCATTAGTCAGTGAGAGTCGTTCCATTTCTAGTTTCAACACGGACCGATTGATTTCATCCAAGGCCGTCGGTTTGGATGTGATCTCCATTTTTAACTTGGCAGCTGCCTCATCAACTAAGTCAATGGCTGTAGCCAAACAACCACTTCAGAATTCACAATTTGCTGGAAACACATTTTCTAAAGAAATTCCACAGATAGAATTGTACTGAAAGATAAGGTAACAACTGTAGGCTTTATCAAGGGTTTACCTTTGTCAGGCAAAAAGCGGCCACTTATATAACGATCAGAAAGAATGGCAGCCTCCACGAGTGCACTATCAGATATGCGGACACCATGGTGAAGCTCATATCTCTCACGTAATCCACGCAATATGGATACTGTGTCTTCCACAGTAGGCTGATCTACATAAACTTGCTGAAACCGACGTTCCAAGGCTGGATCCTTCTCAATGTATTTGCGATACTCATCGAGAGTTGTTGCACCAATGCAGCGCAACTCTCCACGCCCAAGCATCGGTTTCAAAAGATTGCCTGCATCCATGGCCCCATTTGTGGCACCTGAAGAAGTGAATAGTATACTAATTAGCATGGGCAATGATGGAATTAGAAACTATGAAACTACTTGTTTTAATGATTAAGAGAGAGCAAATTTGAATTTAGAAGAAAGATGAAGAAAAAATCTAGTACATGACTGAACAAAAAAAAAACTAGATGTAACTTTCAAGATGGAGCAACTCAAGTATTTGTAGAGGAACAAATGCTCATGAAGAAAACACAAGCAATACAAATTGGTACAAACTTGCTGCTGATATTCACAAACAAAGAGTCAAGATATTTAGCGAAGAAAGACTGTCAAGATATTTAGCAAAGAAACAACAAAATAATTAGACCAGAAAGCCTATAATCCCATTAATCAAAATATTTAATGAAACAAAGAGTGTCAAGATATTTAGCGACGAAGCAACAAAATAAACCAGAAAGCCTATAATCTACTAATGATTGTTTATTTCTTAATTTACATGAATATAATAAGTCCCTTTCTGGCAATCGCAGATTACTTGCAAAACCAATCTTGAGACTAGCAATGAACAACCCGTATAGTCCCCACGGTAAACAAAATTGGAGTTATTTCAGATGTTTAAGTGATAGGGATTTGTTAGCTTCATCGGAAGCATTTAAGTTCCACATGCATGACTTGCTTGCATTATTCCACATGATATCTTCAACTCATGAATATACACAAAGGACATCATATGTAGAAAGCACAACTATATCACATTCAAATGAAAATTATGCTACTAATGGACCTGAGGATAAAGGTACTTAAGGTTGATAATTAACAGTACCTGCTCCAACAACAGTGTGGATCTCATCAATGAAAAGGACTATCTGGCCTTCAGAATCAGTCACTTCTCTTAATACGGCTTTTAGTCTATCTTCAAATTCTCCCCTATACTTCGCCCCAGCAATGAGTGCACCCATATCAAGGGAAATTAACTGCATGACAGATTTAGTGTAAGACATAAAACATATAGCTGGAAGAAAGAAATTAAATAGCTAAACCAAAAGTCTTCATGGTAATTTGTTGCAAATGTCAAACTGAAAGCTAGCAAATACACCAAAGTTTATCTATAAAACAAGAATATTATCGAAACTGTGTTAAGCCAGACAGGAATGACATGCAACCAGTCGGGAATGACCTGCATAGTTTGGAAGGACAATAATAATCCAGAAAATAAATTAATCAAATAGGCACAGTGGACATAAAATTCATCTGTGCAGGAACAAGGGCAAAATGAGATGCCAGTCTTTGCTAAACAAGGTCATAATTCACATTCAGCCTTAGCTTGAGACTGGAAAATGCACCAGATAATTTTTTTTTTTATCAAACTCTGGTGTATACTATATAAATAAAACGAGAGTTATATGTAATTTTTGGACTATGAGGAAGGAAGCAACCGACCTGAATATCTAGGATGATACTATCTCTTTAAAGAAGGGATCAGAATCATGCATCATATTGACCATTCACATCACCGATGCTAATTTTGGACAATAAAAAAAGTGAACACCATTAAGAATAGCTGTTGTCTCAGATAGGTAACTGTAATCAATTAAACTGACCTCCACAGGAGATTTGTTATTGCAAATACCAAAAGACAAATCAACATTAATTGTCCAATAAAGGTTATTTTTATAGAAACGTTCAAAAAATTGGTCGGACCAGCAAATACCAGTTGGATCAGTATATACCAATCGGTATCTACCAGTCCAACCACGAATCCACAATTGGTCCAATTTGGAACTAATTCTTTCTGAACTTTCAAGCCCGGACAGCCTGTCAACAGCTGTTGACGGCCAACAGCCCTCTCCCCCTCTCTTGGGTCCATGCTGACCGATACATCGATGTACTGTGTATCAGTCCACCAGCATACCATGTGTTAGTATAC